CCCCTAGTGCTGGGAGTAAGTGTTGCAAAAGTTTATTTAAATCATTTCTACCGATAACTTTTCACTCACAGCCACTGTAGCTTGGCTAATTGGGAAAATATATCGCCTTGTAAACTCTCGATCTTGTTGCCGTGTAAGTGCCTGTAAGTTTTAAAACTTAGTATTACTAAAACGTGGAAACTCATAAATCTTGTTTGCGTTTGATTGGGATAATGACGTACAAAGAAACGCGAAGTGCGAGGCCCGTCTTAAGCTGAGGGAACAGTCGAGAGTTCTTTAAATCATTTTATAAAATAAGTACAAGTCCGTTTTGATATCAATTTTTGTTGTGGACTTGGTTTGTTCGTGGTCCATTTTATATGATTGTCTGCCAACAGTCAGTATTCAGCGTACGTTCATTTTCGACCGGAGGTTGCTGCGAGTCGATCTCCTCGGAGCATCTGATGATATAAACTAACTCTTGTCAATGGCTATGTTTATCCTTGTCTAGCATGTTTTAATAATAAACTACGCCACTGTAAGAGCACCAGGCGTACATTGTAATAAGAGAAAGAGGGAGGGGCGGATGAATTTCTACCTTCTTACCCGCGTACTAATTTATATGCATGCTATGGAATCTATGTAAAAACGTGTTGTGATACAAACAATAATTTAAGTAATTAATAATACGGTAATAAGTTTGCTCACTTACAAAAACTGCAGCTTAGCCAATGGAGAGAATATATCACCATGTAACTTCTTGATGTTGTTGGAGTCCAACCATCTGTAAGATTAATGTAGTTCCCCCTTTTTTCAGCTTCTCCCTTTCCTAGACACCCACACGACAAACCATTCCACCCACTTATCAATTTGCAGCTATCAAAATCCATTCCACTTAAAGAACTTTATGCTTTCATTTATAACAGTGGAACCCCCATTAACTATAGCTGGATAGGGAAACCTCTCATGGTCCTAGGCAACGAAGATCTCAGTGGTCTTTGGTAAGACAAAAAGATATCAATGACATTTATGGTAATAATCAAACTTAAAATTTATGGACTGAATGCTTACAAATGGGCTAACTTGGTGTTCATATTGAAGATTCCGTGTGGTACCTCCTTTAACAGATTCTCTCCTAAGCTCCTGTGAAGAGGATATGCAATGCATTAGAATTGTGCTTTTAACGTTGCTTTTCCCTATTGGTTTTTCTGTTTAACTCGCTCGTTTTAAAGTTATTTACAACCACCTTCTCC